GAAAAATCAACAAGGAGAACTCACAAAAACAGAGGAGGAGACTTTAGATTTACTACTAAAGTCACACTTTCCTGGATGTGAGATTATTCTTGACCAGGAGAACAAGAGTACCGAGGCACTAATTTCTAGGGCCTCAAAAACAAACTGGTCTCTTGCAAACTCAATAGTAAACAGAACAAAACTTGTGTGGGAGATAAATTCCTTTCAACCATACAAAACAGCTGGACCTGATGGTATAATCCCGGCACTTCTACAAAAGGGCCAGGAAGTACTGGAGAGACCACTGTGTAAACTATTCCGAGCTAGCATAGCCCTCGGGTATGTTCCACAAAGCTGGAGGTGTGCAAGAGTGATCTTCATTCCCAAACCTGGGAAAGAGTCTTACGAGTAGACCAAATCTTTCAGACCAATCAGCCTAATATCATGTCTACTAAAAACATTGGAGAAATTAATCGATAGATATATACGGGACGATGTTCTACGGGATAAACCGATACATCGATATCAGTTTGCCTACCAATTTGATGATAAGATTAGCTTCTGCAGCCATATAAAAAAAAACAACAGAAAAAGCTGTAAGAATACTATGGGCCTGTAGACGGATAGTAGGGAACATATGGGGACTTAAACCAAGTATGATGCACTGGCTTTACACTATGGTTGTAGTACTGGTTATAACTAACACAAAACTAAAAGCATAACAGATAACAGAAAATTAGATAAGGTGCAAAGATTAGCCTGTCTAATAATAACAGGGGCATTTAGAACTATGCCTACAGCAGCAATGGAGCTACTGCTAGGTCTTCCTACACTATACCTTGTGGTTTACTAATGGATTTGGATGGGAACTTTCGAGAAAAGGACACCACACAATGATATTAGAGAAATTAAAACAAAATCCGGTACTAAGAATGCCATCGGATAGAACGCCCATTATTCACGACTACAGGAAACCTTTCGATAATCAAATACCAGAAAGGGCCAAAAGCCGGGAAAATAAGGAAAACCAAAACGAATCAATCTGGTATACAGACGGTTCAAAAATGAAAAACAGCACAGGAGCTCGTATCTACTATGTGAACTCAGGAAGGTAAATTAGTTTGAACCTGGGGTCACTTCCAGGCTGAAGTAACAGCAAAAGTCATGCTAAACGACTCTTTTAGAGATAAGAGGATCTTTATCATGACATACAGTCAGGCAGCCCTTAAAGCACTGAAAAGGGTAGAAGTACAATCTAAATCAATATTTGATTGCCAACAGTCCCTCCAGGCCCTGGCAGAAGATAACAAGGTCACCCTTGAATGGGTGCCAGGAAATGAGGGAATGTTTGGAAACGAGAAAGCAGACCTCCTAGCAAGGAAGGGAGCGGAAAAAACTCTTATTGGACCAAAACCCACATGTGGTATCTCATACCAACACGTTAAATGGGTGTTAAAGGAACAAATAAATAGAAAACACTGGTTGGAATTTCCTGGACTTAGACAGTCCAAAAGATTCATAGAGGGGCTATCCACTAGCAGACAAAATCAACTGCTAAACCTTAGCAGAAGCCAACTCAAGGCCGAAATAGAACTCCTTACGAGACACTGCGGCCTTAGAAGACACCTAAATCTCTTATGTATCTCTATGTAGAATATGTGAAAAGGACGAAACTCCTATTCACATACTATACCACTGTCGGAACCCTAAATGGGAACGGGAATGGTACTTCGGGGTACAATATCCGGAACCTGAAGAAATCGCGAAAGCGCCCATCAGACATATTCTTGAATTCAACAAGAAAATCAATCTGATGGGATAGAAACTGCGAGGGGTACAATCAGTCTAAAGCTTCAGTACAAAACCGAATAAATCCACCATAAACGATTTTTGGGAAACATGATTTTCCAATTGCACAAAAAGTTAGTTGATATTTATCGCCAATCTAATGCACTGACATTTTGTATGTTTATAAGGACTCATCATAAATTTCCTTAGTTCTGAAATTTTTCACGCGAGATATTTTGATAACACTGCGTAAAATCATAAGAGATGAACTATCGCAGCACAATATTATAGAGTGAAATTGCCTAATTTTCAGAGCCACCCAGTCCAGAGTTCAAATAAAAAAGGAGTATACTATGACGTCATTACTAGTCGAGTTATGACGTTATCAACAGTTTTTATGGAAAAACTTTTTTGTTGTCACCATTTTAAAAACGCCAAATTTTTGTCATACAATTTTATTTATATTGTCAGGAATGTTAAATATCGTTTTGTAAGAATTTTATTCTCGAAAATATTGTAATACAACAAATTTGGCGCCCATATGCAAAAAATGTTTTTTTCTTCAATTCGAAAAACAAAAAAACTCGGGATGCCGTTATATCGCGAATACTGATGACGTCATATTAAAACACGTCCGATAAATCCAGAAATCGGGTAGTCCACCATTGTATGTAGTGAACGTGGTTAAATTAAAAAATTGTTTTTGGTAAAGATTTTTGTACATTTTCTGCACTAGCTAGTGACCAATATTGATTTTTAGTATCTTTCATAGTATATGCAGGGTGATCCAGTAGTAAGACGGATCCCATTAACGGATCATACTGTATATTTTTTAAAACAGCAGTATTTCGCTAACCCAACATTTGAAGCTTGTGTTTTAGTTTTATAATTAAGTAAAAAATACAGATCAAAAGTATTATCTAATAATTATTGTACTATTTATTTAATGTGAAATTTACCTCAATTACTTTTGTTTGATTTTATTTTATTGCGTAGTTCTAAAACTGTAAGTCACAAACCATTTGAACTCTAAGCCTAAGCGATCCGAAACAGTCACTGACCGTCAGGATTCTGCGCAGCAGATTTTAAATACGCTCCAAACAATTTATTTTGCAAGTAGCCCTTCTCTAATATTCTATTAGCCGAAAGTATAGCTATTAGAAAAAGAAAAACGTTTACCAAAACGATTTTTTAATTCCGCCAAAAATTTAGTCGTAACATGAACGACCCCGTATAGTAAAAACTATAGTAGAGACGAAATGACAGTTCAAAAGACGAATGTATTACGATAGTAAAAAGTTGGTTGGAAGAATCATGCACAATGAGTCAATGTGCCTTATGATGATGTCAAATGTACCATATCTATACCACTGTGTCTGTACTCAGACCTATAGTTGCCGATCTTGTATCGATCTTATAGTAGATCGATTCTTTGGTGCTAAAAAATCGATTCTTTCTGGGTTGATTTAACTAAAGATTGATTTTTTTTTATAAGCGATTTTTTAGAATCAAGAATAGACTGTCAAATTATGATTTTTATACTTATAATATTGACATTTATTATTTTCGGCAATATTAATTATCAAATACAAATAATTATTAATTATGCGATATAGGACTGGCATACAGGCAAGTAACGAAATTGATAACGCGGGGGGAACCACCTTTCTGCAAGATAACAAAACATAAAACCTAACCTCAGTTCAGAATTTAGATTAGTACTGCATCATTTATAATTGAGTACCTGAGACTATGTTAGTGTGCTTATTTTGTCAATGGAACACCTAAGTTGCTCATTAAATTAAGTCCTTTTTTAAATCGATTTTATTAAGGATCGATCTTTGTTAGTTCGATTTAATTGCAAATCGATTCTTCTGCTTTCGATCCAGATCGATCCTAGAAATCGATATTTTTTTGAAAAATCGGTTACCCTACTCAGTACACTGCCAGTATACAGCAAAGAGTTCCTTCTGATTTTTTCTTCCCAATTAGTAAAAAAATTGTTTTTAAAATTGTAATTTTTCAATTAGGTGTAGTTAATATTTAATTTTATTCACATTTTAGTGAAATTTTTATTCGTAGTTTTATGGCCTACTATTTGTGCATGTGCAGATAATCATTTAGTATTTTACTATATCTAAATGTATAAAATATATTAGTAAAACAGAAATAAGTAATGTATTATACACAATCTTGTTTGGTTTACCAAAAAGATAAATAATCTAATTTTAAAAATTTGGTTAAAGGACACAACAAAAATGATTCAGGCCAAATTGAATGCCAACAAAAAATTTTGATTTAATTTATATTATAATATTCTTCAATGTATTTTTTTACTAAGTATTTTATTGCTTATGTATTCATCGATGTAATTAAATGGTTATTACAATTATTATGAATTTATTTTAGTTTTCATAAACTAGCAACGTTACACGGTCATCTGTTTGTCACCTGTCAGATTTACTTAAGAACCAATACAATTTTTTTGTTAGGTTAGAAAACTTCGCATTATCGCATTTTCATTCGAAATAATACAAGAAGTCACTTTAAGTTTATATCTCTTAATGTCAACAAATATGTAACACGATGAGTTTAATATCAACACCTTAGATGGCGCCACTTCATTGACATTACATTTTTAAATCTTAACACAAGTTTCCTGAAATAATTGGGCAAAAATAAGAGTGTATTTTTTGTTTTAGCTTTTAAATACTATAAAAAATGGTGAAAGTGCATAACTTTTAAATATTTGTTAAATATCACTTATTAAAATATTATGCATTAAAAGTAAAAAAAACTATAGACTTTCCACCATTCTTTACCGTACTCTGAACGCATTTTTAAAAACAATTTCTGAAAATATCATTCAAAACTGTATTTTTTGTGATAAAAAAAGTCGCAGACACTTGTTATTGAAAACGCGTTGGGATTGGACTTAAGACAAAATGCACATCATCCCTTTACAGCCTTGATACACTCGTTTCAAAAGTGGAACACTAGATTCGGAAGTCGCCATCTTGCTACTTTTATATTGTCATGTGGTCTCAGAATCAAAAATTCAGCATTTCAGTCATAAAAAATCTAGTATATAACTCACAATCCGACTTTCAAAATTCTACTAAATCAATTAAAAGATTTAGTGCTAAAATTGGAAAATAACATTTCAAGTTAAATACCAAGTAAAGTGCAAAAAGTTATGACAAAGGTCAGACACATAAATAATTGAGTAAATAATTCATAGAGAGAAAGGAGTTTACTCCTTTTGAACTGTCATTTCTTCTCTACTAACATTTTTGCGCAAAATTTTAACAAAAATATCTCATAACAAAAGGTATAAAGGACCGATAAGGTTGGACATCAAAATTGGTTTACACGCAATAAGTTATAAATTCTTACACGTCACCACACAAGTTACTAACTCAAATAATTAACTAACGAGTAGTTTTAGTTTAACTGTATAAAAAATCTTCGTATAAAAAGAAATCCGTTTGTCTATTGGCACATCAGAGCGATATAGAAAATTTAAAAGGGAACACAGTCAAAAGAGTGGAGAAAAACAAACTCCTGAACATATTTTTATCATAAAGAAATGCAATACCATACGACACGGTACAGTACGTTACGTCACGGCGGTTTCCGTGCCGTACCGTGTCATATAAAAATTCAATAGAAATTTTCAAACTGCACAGGTTTTTTTTTATAGGATCTATGATATCAACTGATACGTATTTAAAAAGTATCGACTATGTTCCCTTTTGCACAATACAGTAATCTGCTATTTAACTTGGGCTATGTAAAAATAGGCAAGTGTGGTAACAGGCTGCATGCGCAGGTACTTTAGTTATGCAGGTACGGTTCGTTCAAAATCCGAATCCTACTGAAAAGGAAAATAAATCTGTGAAATATTACGATAATATTGAGTTATTTTACATCAATTATTTCTCAAAATCCTTATTTAATAGACGAAAGTTGGTATAGTATAGTTTTTTGCAGCACTGTAATACATATTAAAAGAAATATATTCAACTTTTATGCTTTAAGTTATTAAACTGTGAGATCTACATGTTGGTAGTAGCTTGATTGGCTTGTTCAACTGTTCAATACCACAATGTCCTTCACTAGTATGTATTCTCTTCAATTAAAGACGTATGGAATAAGAAACGGACTCATAGAGGGTGTCCAAGTTAAATTAACTCCGATAAATAAACTCCTGGACAAAATTAACGCACCACTTAAGGGACCACTTTTATTTTGCTCGATAATCTTTATTTATTGATAATTTAATGTACGACAAGTAGGCAATGGACCTTGTTTGACAGTGACAGTTGCTTTTTAAGCTAGCTAGTGTCACGTAATACCTTGTTTTGACAGTAATTCGTATTAAACCTCGTTTTAAACTAAAACTGTGTTAACATTTTCTTAAAAAGTGCTGATTAAAGCAAAGTTTCTGTTAGAAGCAAGCTGTTGATTGTAATTGTTTTTATTACATGCATGTTTGGAAGTTCATTTGGGAGAATATCAAGTAAAAAATGAACCGTCAAAGAAATCTGTCACTGGAGGAGGCAGTGCTAGCATCGACTCTCCTGAATGAAGGATATTCAATGCAATATGTTGTTGGTTTGTTAGGAAGACATCATTCCAGCATCAGTCGCATAGTGAAGCGACTTAATGAAACGGGTTCGTACCATCGAAGACCAGGACAAGGTCGAAAACGTTGCACTAATCAAATCGTTTTTTGAGACAACATGCTCTTAGAGACAGGAGAGTAACCAGCAATCTGCTTAAAAATGAATTAGCAGATGTTCGAAATATCGCTATATCGTCTCGAACGGTTAGAAGTTTACATGAAGCAGGATTAAGCAACAGAAGACCAGCCAAAAAACCCTTGCTTATCAGAGAACACAGAGTTCAGAGATAAAATTTTGCAAGACTAGGTACATCAGAATTAAACCATCAATCATTGGAAACGGGTTCTGTTCTCCGATGAAACTAGAGTTAGCCTTAAAGCTCCAGATGGACGTGAGCGTGTCTGGCGAAGACAAGGAGAAAGGTTTGCCAACTGTAATATCTCTCCTAAAGTGCCTTTTGGTGGTGGCTCTAAAATGTTTTGGAGAGTTGATCAATATTACTTAGACAACATTATTGTCGAACATGTCGCACCTTTAATCATAAAGTGGCATAAATCAAAATTTTGAGTTTTGGTAATAAAACGATCCAAAATAGTACCATCTATTGAGGTAACTCCGACCTACGTTGAAATAGTCAGCTAGAAAGTGTAGATTTATATTTGCGCCAGTTTAGTTCTATCGGAATTTGTAAGGTGTTTTAGACCTAAAGCGACATAATGTTAGTTGTGTGCCAATAGTGACAGGGTTTGAAATAGCATTCTTTGCAAATTTGCTTCTAAAGAGACTTGAAAGATTTTATTAATATAATCCAAAAAAGAACTATTCCAAAATAATACTAAAATCGTGATGCAATTTTTAGTCATAAATTGACACATTTCGTATTGATACATATTCTTTTTATTACTAAAGTGACATAATTGTGAATTTTTTTTCTTACTAACAGTAAAACTATTTTTCCTTTCTTCTTTAAAAAAAAAACTAAATCATACATACATCTTTAAAATATTGCTTAACCTTTTCTCATATTTTATTTATTTATAATAATTCGTAAATTTTCTCAAAGTTCAAATATACTAAGACAGCTCCAAATATAAAACAGTTTTTGGCAGATTCTACGAAACTAGCATTTTTTAGTTGTGTCACTTTATAATTAAAGGTGCGATGTAATGCCTATTGCTCCGTTTGTTGGGCCCAATTTTTTATTCATGCAGGATAACGCTCGTCCCCACGTGGCTAGACAGGTTATTGGTTACATACATGATGTTAATATTCCTTTATTAGAGTGGCCACCTAACAGTCCGGATATGAATCCTATAGAACATCTATGGGACTATCTCAAAAAGAGGATTCGAAGTCATAGACAGGGGGTTTCTAATCACAACCAACTCATAGAGGTCGCTATTGAAGAATGGGAGAATATACCACAAGCTTTTGTTGAACATTTAATATCAAGCATGCCGCGACGCATGAATGCAGTGATAAGAAGTAGAGGAGGGCCTAGGCGGTATTGGGGTTGTCCCAGATGCATTTATTCTCTTTTACTGATTTTTTTTCCCTTTTTTATATTTGGAGTTATGCTAGCTTATTTATGCATTTCCAGCAAAAACAAATTTTTATGGAAAAAATAAGGCAAATTAAGGTCATGTAAAGGTAATATTCGACTAATTTTTAGGTGTTCATCATTATTTCAATGTAACTTAATTTTATGTTGTGTTTATATTGTAAATATTTAGAATAATTAAAGTGGTGCGTTAATTTTGTCCAGGAGTTTATAATCAAAAATTGAATTTCTAATATATGTATTAAGTTAATCTCTTAAATAAATAGAAGTCTGAACAAACTGGTAAACGATATCTATGTAAATTGATATAAAGGTTGATATAATAGATCTATTAGGTTAATGAATAAGGTTTGCTTCCAGGATTTTAAGAAAAAATTGTGGTAAAAAAAGACGAAATTAAAATGACTTACCTTTTGTCCCTACATGTTGTCTTTCAGAATATTCATAGGAGTCTCGTTCTCGATTCTCCATCCAATCATCTGTTGCTGGTATTTGGATTGAGACATTATCCTTTCCATGACGCAAGAAGCAGATAGCCTAGCTTCAGCATCGTGATCCCAACATTCCTCAATTGTGTCGCAGATTACCGCCAAACCCTGTAATATTTTTTTATTATCACCTTATATCAATAATTATACCTCAGTCCCGAAAGTTTGCAAACTAAGTCATTCAAATCATATTGCCATAATATGTAATCTGTCGATAGTGACATTTTCAGCGCTATGTCAATAGAAAAAAACAAAAAACAGGTTTTTATAAAAGAAAAATGTTGAGACTATTTTTACCTATAAATAATAAAAGAAGAGAATATGGGTAAAAGATCCTAAAACAAAGAGGTGCATTTGGAATTGTGAAAATAAAAACACCCGATTATCTCTACGAAATTAAGGAATCTATCCCCACAAACCCAAGGTGAAAACGAACCAAAGAAAAATTGAAAAGCTAAATAAAAAAGACAAAATGTTTGCCCCAGTCAGAAATCTAACCTTTGGATATCCCGAGTTTACACATAGATGCCTTTACTGATTATGTCACCATAGCACATAGGTACGACAGTCAAATTTGAAGAGAGCAAATTTTAAAGTAGAATTGTTCAATACACCTTTTTTTTAATTTTTGACCAAAATACTGTTGCCAAGAAAGTTTCGCTGTGCGCAAACTTGTTAATTAATCTTTTTTGACAAGCATATGCCTATCAAGACTACTAGAACAACTAAAGGAGACAAAGAGCGCGGGTGGCCCAAACGGTGCAGTGCACCCACACAATTTACTATTTCATAATTAAAATTATGAGATTATCCATAAAATCTATTTTACGTATATTTTAGAATGTCTTAAATATTTTCTGTGAAATGTAGATGAAATGCTTGCATTTTTTTGGCAGTTCTGTATCTCCACTGCACTTATGCAAAAGCCGCGACTATTTCATAAAACAGATTATTTTAAAACAAATAATAAAAATATAAATTCAATTATAATAATTTTATTGTTTCCATACGTGTTAATCTCTATTTTTTGATACGCCACTGCGCTCTGGCTAATCGCGTCTTTGTGATGCACTATTCTGAGTATGCGCGAGGGAGCGGGATGTTTTCGCGAAAGCCTGTAGCTATCAACATGTCAACAGATCCGTGAAACAAGCAATGTACCTGCTTAAAATCATTTAAATCACGTTATTTTGTGCATCGCACACATAATCAAGGCGTGACGTCACAAAGTAGGGCGGGGCACAAGAATCTTTCCAATCATTGATATAGAATAAAGAGGAGATGCTATGACGCTACTAAAAGTGTCCGCAGTTTTATATTAACACTTTTATGTCATATGTCAAACTCGAGCTAGTGGAGCTAGTCAGTTTTTGGTGAAAATTAAATACCATTTTTTTTAAATAGCGTGATTTAAATGATATAAAAACATTTTCATTCCGTCAATCTAAATAGTTGGGACTACGTTAGGTATGTACCTATATCATGAAGACTAATGATATCCTAAATTGAAATCGAAAAGCGATATCAACATGAAATTTTTAAACATAATAGTGCCGTTGTCTAAAGAGAAGAAATGATCGTATGATGCAAAATATTAATAAAATATGTATTACAAATAAAACATTTATAATTAGAATAATAGAAAAATATACCACATGCCACTGAACAATTATTGTTTCCCTTTCCTGTTTGACAGCGAAGCTCCACACATTTCACAAATTCGTGTTTTATCAGTGGTCTTTTTTTTTTTTTTTTTTTTTTTTTTCTGGGCTCGTCTATGTGTCTCCGACTAACACTGAAGCCTATTGGCTTATTGTGTTTTACCCCATGTTAGTTCATAGCACCCACTCTATCACCTTTGTACCTTGTACAAGTTTGTACAGATCCTTGGGTGAGTGGGTTCTATACGTTGTTGGATCAACCTGGGGTTGTCCAAAAAGAGCCTGTCTTTTGCGATCTAGAGCTTCGCATGCGCACAGTATGTGTTTGGCCGTTTCTGGTTTCTTGTGACATAGTCGGCACATGAGTTCCCCATCAGTGGTCTTGCCGCAATTTAAAACTGTAATAGTCAGTTTTGCAAACTTTCTGGAATGAAGCCTAGATTGCAAGATGCATATACTCCTGTTGAACTGTTGATAGCAAAATAGCGTTTATAAAAAAACAAAATAATTCAAATTTTCTTACGGGATGATGCCTCCAGTGTTCCTGGATCAAAGGTCGAACTTTTTGTTGTACGACAGATTCTTGCATATCCTCTAAAGAAGGATGCTGTCCCACTTCCTCTTCAAAAGGCAGTCTATATTCAGGAATCGGTCCATCTTGGGCGGTACATCGCGCTACGAGTTCCCACAACACCAGACCGCATGCGTACATGTCAATTCGTAAGAAAGCGTCTTGAGTAAAGTTTATTGCACCTTCCAATACTTCGGGGGCCATGTATCTAAAACAATAAAGTACAATATACCAATTAAGTAAACAGATCTATTCGTAGCTGGTTTCAATTTGTTTTTAAATTTCCTTAGAGCTACTTTGCAGTCCGAAATTCGAATTGCATGTCTGCACACTAACGTCCTTTCAATTAGCTGCTTCAATTCTTGCAATTGCTAAAAATAGTGACAGACTGAAAAGAAAAACGTAAACTGGGCAAGATCAAATAAACAAAAAGATTACATCATTGCAAATCATCACAAACAAAATTTCCAAAAAAAAAAAAAAAAAAATAAGGATTCAATTTACTAAAAGAGGAAAAAATAAAAGTAATAGAATCCCCAAGAGTAAAAACATCTAAAGTGATAGCAAAGAAAATCAAATAAAATATTAAAACAATTGCCAAAAAGCTGTGGTTGAACTCACTAATATAAGGTTTGTTCCAACAGCTCATTTCTGATGTGTCTCTGACAAGTGCATGAATGTATTCGTAAACTAATCACTGCGCATGTCAGTCCGTTTATTCGTCCATTGTTTAATCAGCGACTTTTTCTTGTTGGGACAAAAACAGCAATGGAATTATTTAAAATACAACAACATACATTTGGCTGCATCGAACCATCTATATGAATGTAAAATTTTGAGAGCTTAAGATGTTTATTTTGATCAAAAATAAGTACATATTTTGTATAAAAAAAACCGTACACAAGATAAAAACAAAAATTACTTATTTCAGTTGAAATAGAAACCCAAGCCAATCCAAGCTAACTTAAAATCCTAACAATTACAAACAAACAGCACAAACGAGAAGGGACGTTGAAATGCGCATTTGCTGATTAATTGTACAAGCGATGAAGCTCTGATCGTTTTGACAATACGCCGACTCATTTATGTACGAATCAGAAAATACATTGGAACGTTCATCGGATTGTCCATGGCTTTGTAGAAACGGACTATTTTCAATGCGCAAGCGTCTGACGTCCTTCTGATAATCAGATTAGCTGTTGGAACAAACCTATAATAAACGCTGCATTTTGACTAGAACAAGTCACTGAAATTATGATATACAAACCTGGAAAACCGCCAAATGAAGTAGAGTCATGTATCCCTGTTACCATGCGCAGTATAAATAGCAGATTTTTACCGTATTGTTACTAGATTTAAAATTATCAACAACAATACCTAATTAAACTTTTCGAAAATATTTTAATATTAAATTGAAAATGAGAAATAACATCACAAGCCGTAACACTTAGACGAAACGAGTGATTTGATGAACATGATATGATGTAACTTTGATGTAAGTGACTATAAAATGCTTATAGAATTGAAAAAAGTTATGATCACTAGGATGCTTGATATACGAGGGCTGTCGTTTAAGTTTTGCATATATACCTAGAATAAAACAGCAGATAGTGTTTAAACATTTTACTGTTTTTCAAAGTATTCTCCACTGCACACCAACTGCATCTTCTGGTGACTGGAAGCGTTGCCCACGCTGTGCGTTCTTGGTTTTCGGAAAGGTAAAAAAATCGTTGGGACTTAGGTCGGGACTGTAAGGAGGATGGTCTAACAACTCGACGGTTTGTTGCTCTAAGAAGGCAATTGTTTTGCGAGCTGTGTGCACACTTGCATTGTCTTGATGGAGGATGATTCGTCGTTTGGGCTTGGTTTTCCGAATCTTAGCGATGACTACTGACAAACAAATGCAGAGGAATTGTTGCAACATGACCTGCACAATTTTACTCATAGGTAAGGAAAATTTCGAACTTTAAAGTGGCTCTTAAGCTTTGCTTTGAAAAACAACTCACCTTCGTGTTCCAACTTGTCCGTGAGTATCACCACACGATTTTCCAGGCTCGAACGTAATGGCCAAACCGAAATCTGCGATGCAAGCCGATAAATCGCTTTTGAGAAGAACATTCTTGCTTTTAAAATCTCTATGCGCTATTGCTGGCTTCCCAAGCTCTCCAGGAATGGATTCGTGTAGACGCATCAACCCTGAAAAAAAAGTAATACAACGTAAAATAAGAAAAATACTACATTGGTTTTTTTGTGTAATTATTGTTAGTAAAGAATCATAATCTGCTGAAATGTCAAAAAGATCGTGCACAATTCTATTAACTCGTTCATTACCAAAAGTTTTTACCGGTGGTGCCCCTCCCCTGCGCTGCCCATTTTTTCTCCGATTTTTAACCGACTTCAAAAAAGGAGGAGGTTCTCAATTCGTCGCATTTTTTTTATATATGTTTAGCGATAATTCTTTAACACAGTGTCCGATTACAATGCTTCTTCTTTTGTTAGAAAGGGGATACTTCAGGGGTGGTCCCATATAAATTTGATCAAAACCTAATAATTGGGTCCATGAGAAAATCCTCAAACTCTTCATGTTTTATGTATGTTTAGCTAAATGCTTTACCACCTTGTCCGATTTATATGATTCTTTTTCTGTTAGTAAGGGGGTACCTCAGGGGTGGTCCCATATAAATTTGGTTAAGATGGGGTGATGGCATCTGCACGTCTTTTGTAACCACCCGGATGTTTCGTTTATCGCTAGGCTAGGACCACCCTGTCTTGATTCACGAGTGCTACTCATATTTCGTAGAACGATACGTCGGACTGGGTCGCATAAGAATATTTGGTGATAAAGCACGGCATTCTTTCATAGACATTCATTCGATACGTTTCATTTTATGTATTATTATTCTTAACACCGATTAAATTCGATTCTATATTAAAATCAGATTTATTTCATTTAAAATTAATTAACATAGTTTACAGTTCAGGTGCAGGGTGAACTAACTGCTTACCTTTGTTATAGAAAAACGTAGGTGACGTAAGTGAAATACTTTATATAAGGTCGTACAGAAACTTAAGTTGTTACGTAACAAAAAGGGATATCATTAGTTAAGTGATTTTGTTAAGTTATTGTTAAGAATTTGGTGTTATGAATGTGTTAAGAACGATGACCAAAGCTTTTAGACTCTATAGGCGTACGATCTAAACGTAATTATGGATTATATTCCGACGAGACGAGACATTAGTGACAATAGGTCACCCTTTAACGAAGGGGGTCGTAAAAAGAAGCGATAGTTAAGTATATCGCGAGAAAATATAGTACAAAGCGCATCTCATGGTTTATATTCCTGTTCCAGTCAACAAAGTTCAAGTATTACACACGAAGCTAGAATTAGACAGTTGGAAACAGTAATAGAGAAAATGTCAAGACGAAATCCCAAGTCACTATCCAAAATGCTGCTCGCGCTGGTCGTTACGAAAAAGCAGTGGCATTATTTGAAAGATACCTGTCAATGCTACGTAAGGAAAGTATAATTGAAGTATCGACTCAAAAAAGAGGGTTTGATAAAGCCGTCCCTGAAGGTGGAGTTAGGTTATTCACTTTCGAATACACGAAGTACTAAACTGTATACATACAAAACATGATGTTTTAAATGTAAAAATAAATGTAATTTTCAGTCAAAGTGTCCAAAACCACTCGTTAAATGCACAAAATTCTATCTGTTAGGACACGAAGCAGGACGTTGTGCATAAATGTAAGTAAAAGACCAGATGATGACAAAATAAGAGTGAGTCGAAACCAATTTTAATTTTATCTAATAATAAGGCGTCTAGTGTGTCATTAACGATTAATATATACGAGGCTTTGTAGACTCGGATTGTGCTGCAGTTACAATTCGTGAATCGGATGCAGTCAAGTTGCATCTACAGGGTGAGCCCACATTAGTACGTTTGTGTGGTTATGCGGGAGATTTTGTTATAGTACCTTCAACGGTTACGACAACTTTGAATGTTGATTTAGCTACTACTACCGTTGACGTACCGGATAATGTACAGGATGTCTCTGTTATTGTAGGTTAGCCATTTTTTAAATGATATGGTTACAGTTTTCGTTAGATGCAACCTAGTATGACATATTTTAATTAAAATTATTGTAGGTTAGCCATTTTTTAAATGATATGGTTACAGTTTTCGTTAGATGTAACCTAGTATGACATATTTTAATTAAAATAACTCCAACGTTACACATATTAACGAGTCTTTGTCTAAGAGAATTAATTTATGTGTAGAAGAAACCACTATCATTCCGCAGAATTTTGTAGGGCTAATTAAAAATGAAAACGTTAAGGGTGTTTTTGTTGATCTAAGATATTTATGTTGATCCAAGATGTTTTTGTTGATCTAAAATATTTTTGTAGATCTAAGATGTTTTTGTTGATTTAAGATATAAAAATTAAGATAATAATTTTCATATTATTTTACCGTGTGTTATTAACATGAATAATTGTTGCTGTATTCATGTTGCCAATATGTCCGATAAATCTGTTTGTTACGAAAAAGACAGAATACTTACTAGAGGTTATACCTGTACCAAATTTTACGTTATTTGATCTTGAGAAACAAACTAATTCAGTATTAAATAGAATTGAACATTCTAAATTACTTAAATTACTTAACGAGTATGGCGATTGTTTCGCTACTAATTTACGAAAGGTTGCTAAAATGACTGTTACGGAAATGTCGATCATACTAAACGATAGGGAACCTGTAATGTACGGTTCATACGGTATGACTTTTGTTTTGGTAAATGCTCCTGCTGTTATGTAAAGGATTATGAACAAAATATTTAGACCCACAACGGAGAATTGATGATGAAGACCGGTGGATGGAGGATAAAGACCCATGACGGAGAGGAGGACGAAAGACCCCTAGAAAGAGGCAAGATGAGGAAACACTTGCAAAGGACGCCCAAATCGGAATGGAAGTCGGCACACCAAGGACACTGTAGCAGATTTTGCAGCACCTAAGGATATCAACGAAATTCGGCGATTTTAAAAATAAAGAAGATAGTAGAACGATCCATGTATGCTATTTAGAACAGATAAGTGGAAACTGAAGAACATTGTGACACCAGTAAAGTCGGGCAAGTGGGAATACTTCTATAACGTCAAAATGACAGCACTTTAGGCTAGTATATTTAGTAGAGCCACAACCGAAGAAGAGCAAAAATATTATTCATGAGCTTGAAATTTTGGCGGCTGTACGCGCATTTAAAAAGTTCAGTTTAAAGTGGCATAAAGTTAAAATCGTCACCGATTGTAACTTACTTCGTAACACCCGTATAAAACGAGACTTAATTCTTCGCATCGCAAAATAGTGGTTATTAATTCAAGAATTCGATGTTGGTATTGAATACCGTGTTGCTACTAAGATCAGCTACGTAGACGATCTGAGTCGAAGTACTATTATATCCACGGATCAATCACTTGACGTAATCATTGTAAATATTAAGGAGGATGACCGGATACTTTTAGCACAACTTCAAGACAACGCTTGCAATAATATTATGAATGTTTTGTCACGAGATCCTAGAGATAATTACGAAAGAAGAACGACAAATTTATAAAGAATATTGTATAAAGAATAGACGACTAATAGCAGCATGACTAATAATTTTAATGTTAGTAAATTGCATCACCCTCGTGATAGGTCATTTAGCAGTTGACGACTTTACTAAATTTGTATAAGAGTGTTAGGAAAACTAGTATCTCATCATATCAATTAACGACTTTAAGAAATCTGTAAAAGTGTTAGGACAACTCGTATCTTATCATATCAATTAACGGCTTTAAGAAATTTGTATAAAAGTGTTAGGAAAACTCGTATCTCATCAAATCAATTAACAGCTTTAAGAAATTTGTATAAAAGTGTTAGGAAAACTCGTATCTGATCATATCGATTAACAGCTTTAAGAAATTTGTATAAGAGTAGCAGTTGACGGCTTTACGAAATTTGTATGTTTAAAAGTGATACAAAAATACAAAACTGAAATTTATAGATGGAGTTAAAATGTTCGGGGTTCCTGCAGGTTTATTGCGACCGTGACACTGATTTTACGAGCAAGAATTTTAAGGAATACTGTTTAACTTTAGGTGTTAAACAGATGTGTTTAACTTTAGGTGTTAAACAAGTGTATTTAACTTTGGGTGTTAAACAGGTATGTTTGACTTTAGGTGTTAAACAAGTATATTTAACTTTAGGTGTTAAACAGGTATGTTTGACTTTACGTGTTAAACATGTAGTATGTACTACTTCGACTCATCGGGCTTACGGCCAAGTAGAACGGTGAACAGTTATAGCTTCAACTAATGACGAAAATCGTTGGGACGAAGCTGTAGCAGATGTAAAATGGGGAATTAATTTGACGGTTAATTCCACTACATGGAAAACTCCCTTCTTCGAACTATTTGGATATTAAGATGGAATGAAGAGGAGATACTATCACGATACTAGTCACTGTTGGTGAGAATAAATGCCTTTTTGTAAAATAACTTCAATTGAGTGATATAAAAACATTTTCGTTTCGTCAATCTTCAAACATAAAATTATTGCATTCAAATAAATCAACGTACGACTCTTAAGTCGTCATTTTCATTACACTTTTCCATTACTCGGAGTGCGTTCATCTGTTATATGGCAAAAAAGTGTTTATGTCGTCTCTACTTCATTCTATCTCGATGGTCCTGGATGAGTTAATGATGTCTTTTTGACGGCTGAAGTCTGTGACGATAACGAACGTCCAGATTTGGAAATGATCAGAAATAAGTTTTCTGAAAAGATAGAAGATGCGCAAAGGTACCAAAATATGTGTTACGATAATGAAGTTAAGAAAATTGAAGGCTGGTCAAGCAAATAAAGGCTCCAATGACGGACGGAGCAGGAAGCTTGAGCCTTTGTAAAAGACCCTAGTTACGAACGTACTCGATGACGATCGGTACGTGGTTGACGAACTGCCAGGGTCCAAACGTTGTAGGACAGCTTATACGGGCATTGGTCCTTCAGATAAAATGAAACTGTTACGAAAGTTTCGGAAAGCGATACTAGTGGAGCCGTATATTTGTTATAGAAATATTCGCGCTCACATTCATTAATTTCAGTTTAATTAATATTTTGTTTGTTTTGTATGTTACAGATTACTCTTC